TTTTTTTTTTAAACTAAAATATGGCCATGAAGTTAAATTCAGGTTGCTAGACTCACGGGCAGCGAGGTTTCCTCTGTTACATGAGTAGAGGTGTAGCAGAGAAGGAAGCTTTTAGAATAAGAATGGGGAGTTTTTTCCATACCAACACCTACAGGCACTTGTCAGACATACCTTAGGTCCCACTATAACACTCTGCATTGACACCATGAAGAAAAACATAATATGGCCCCAGGCCATACGAAACTGAAGTTGCTTGCTGTGTGCAGAGCATGATCTCTTCCCTGCTCTTATTCTAGAAAGTTGGGTGTCAACAGTAATGTAAGATCTTTACAAGTATTCAAACCAAAAATAAATTAACAAATTTATATTTGACATTTAAGATAAAGGACAAAGAGGGAAATATAGAAATTGAGTTTTTTTCCAAATATTGTTTTCAGTTTTGGGTATCTTGTCTTTGGTCTTGCATTTCCAGCTTTTTTTTTCCTTTCGAAAGGTGGTTTGATATTATTGAGAGATGTGAAAAGTTTTTTTACTCCCTGCCCAGAGATATGATATGGTAGGGAGAATAGCTATAGTTTTAGATCTGTGGTAATGGAAAGTGTAATTTCTTGCTGATGAGTATTTGCAGACTTATTTCATTACACTTCTAGGAGGGATATTTAATTTTCTAACAGAAGCTTGTTTCTAAACCTACTCTGAAATAGCTTATTGCCAAATTTACCTCCAGTAGTTTTGCTTTCACAGAAAAATAAAGAGCATCATTTTACCGTATGATCCATGTATTGCATACAGCGTAAGATGGCAGGCCATCTCCTCCCTCCTTCTGTAAGAACAGCAAACCTGAGGTCAGGCAGTAAATTCGTTGCTCCATAAACAAGGCGCTCATGATGAGGGCTTTACACTCTCCATTTTTGTTAATGGGATAGCAAGTCATAGGCCAGGATTTCGGGATGGCGAAGGAGAAAATGGAGGGATACCCACAGAGAAGAGAGACATAAAAATTAGCTAATATGAATTTTAAAATTCTTAAATATCCAGAGGTTGCTGTGGTGTTTTTGTCTGTCTTCTTAGCTTCACTGGCAACATGAACTATTGCACTCGCACTCCTGCTCCAGCACCGGGAAAGGTGGCACTTGGCGTTGTGCAGCTCCTCGGGGACAGGGCCGAGATCAGAACAGGGCTGTCTGCACAAGGCTGCATCTTCTCTTCGCCATCACAACATCAGATATGAGTAATTCTCCAAAGGCTGACTTTATAGCGTGCTTAGTTCCTTTCCCTTTGAAATCAGTGGCGTAACTCCTGGTGAACTGTAAAGCTAACGGCCTGTGTTGCACCAAAAAGAATTAATGCGATTCATTTGTTTAACAATCAAGGGCCATATTCAGCAAAGATTTAGCAGGAGTACTTGACAATAAAGCATTTAGGATTTTCTATGAATTGGTGTGAAATAACAGCCACCAAAAAAAATGTTCCCTTGCATATGTATGGCTGCCATACTTCTGACCTTAGTTACAGCTGGTAGGCTACGAGCGGCTGTGGATCCAGACCTCCTCAGTCACTCAGCTCAGTCTGGGGAGCGACGGTGACAGTGTCCAGGACTTGCACAAAGTGGCTAGTGGGATCATTTGGGTCTGGTAGAATCATAGAATCATCGAATTGCTGAGGTTGGAAGGGACCTTTAAGATCATCAAGTCCAAGCATTAACCTACCGTGACAAAACCACTTCTAAACCATGTCCCCAAGTACCACATCTACCCTTTTTTTAAACACCTATAACACTCTGCATTGACACCATGAAGAAAAACATAATATGGCCCCAGGCCATACGAAACTGAAGTTGCTTGCTGTGTGCAGAGCATGATCTCTTCCCTGCTCTTATTCTAGAAAGTTGGGTGTCAACAGTAATGTAAGATCTTTACAAGTATTCAAACCAAAAATAAATTAACAAATTTATATTTGACATTTAAGATAAAGGACAAAGAGGGAAATATAGAAATTGAGTTTTTTTCCAAATATTGTTTTCAGTTTTGGGTATCTTGTCTTTGGTCTTGCATTTCCAGCTTTTTTTTTCCTTTCGAAAGGTGGTTTGATGTTATTGAGAGATGTGAAAAGTTTTTTTACTCCCTGCCCAGAGATATGATATGGTAGGGAGAATAGCTATAGTTTTAGATCTGTGGTAATGGAAAGTGTAATTTCTTGCTGATGAGTATTTGCAGACTTATTTCATTACACTTCTAGGAGGGATATTTAATTTTCTAACAGAAGCTTGTTTCTAAACCTACTCTGAAATAGCTTATTGCCAAATTTACCTCCAGTAGTTTTGCTTTCACAGAAAAATAAAGAGCATCATTTTACCGTATGATCCATGTATTGCATACAGCGTAAGATGGCAGGCCATCTCCTCCCTCCTTCTGTAAGAACAGCAAACCTGAGGTCAGGCAGTAAATTCGTTGCTCCATAAACAAGGCGCTCATGATGAGGGCTTTACACTCTCCATTTTTGTTAATGGGATAGCAAGTCATAGGCCAGGATTTCGGGATGGCGAAGGAGAAAATGGAGGGATACCCACAGAGAAGAGAGACATAAAAATTAGCTAATATGAATTTTAAAATTCTTAAATATCCAGAGGTTGCTGTGGTGTTTTTGTCTGTCTTCTTAGCTTCACTGGCAACATGAACTATTGCACTCGCACTCCTGCTCCAGCACCGGGAAAGGTGGCACTTGGCGTTGTGCAGCTCCTCGGGGACAGGGCCGAGATCAGAACAGGGCTGTCTGCACAAGGCTGCATCTTCTCTTCGCCATCACAACATCAGATATGAGTAATTCTCCAAAGGCTGACTTTATAGCGTGCTTAGTTCCTTTCCCTTTGAAATCAGTGGCGTAACTCCTGGTGAACTGTAAAGCTAACGGCCTGTGTTGCACCAAAAAGAATTAATGCGATTCATTTGTTTAACAATCAAGGGCCATATTCAGCAAAGATTTAGCAGGAGTACTTGACAATAAAGCATTTAGGATTTTCTATGACTTGGTGTGAAATAACAGCCACCAAAAAAAATGTTCCCTTGCATATGTATGGCTGCCATACTTCTGACCTTAGTTACAGCTGGTAGGCTACGACCGGCCGGGTGG